GTTGGTGCTTTGTCCCTTATCCTCATCTTTCTCCTTTTTCCACTATGCTCTTTTTCTCTTTCTAATATACTCCTGCCTGTCTGTCAGCTGTGGCATTTTAATGCCAGACATAGTACTTGTAATGTGTACAGGTGTAATTATAACTCTTAACAAGCTTTGCTTACATTCAGAAGTAAGGGAAGGTTTCAGCTGAATAAAACACAAGTCACTACACCTGTGCTTTCCATTCTGTAAGCTGTATAAAAAAATAAATGGAAAAAAAAAAACGTCTACAGTACAGCCAAACAAGTATAAAACATGAAATGAAAAATTAGATTTTGAAGTAAAACATTTCGTTTTTTTATTTTTATTTATTTTAAAGTCACTAATAAAGGTTACATGGCCCAGAAAAGTATGAGGAGAGACTCCCTCAGCGTCTGGAGGAGCTGATTGGCTGTTGAGCTGAAGAGTCGCGTTCTGTCATATGACCTGACGACTGAGCTGTAAACAATTACCCTTTAACACAGGCACAGACACAGACACAGCTGGCAGGTTTAAATCTTTCGTCAAATAACGTTAATCAGTCAGTCTTGTCCACAGCAGTACAGCTATATGTCTTTTTTTTGTTTTCAGATAGATGAAGATAGCCGCTTTCTTATTTCTTATGTCGAACCAACCCTCGTACAAGAATCCAACAATATAAGGACGCCTCGCTTGAAAGCAAATTTTAACTCTGCATTTATTGTGGGAACGCGTTTTAGAGTTTATTTTGATACAGCACAGCTAAAATAATGAAACGTCATATTATCTGATAATAAGAGAGTCTTGAACACCGAGATGCACACACGAGGATTTCTCTGTTTTGGCTGGTGATGACAACCACAACAACAGGCCAAACATTTACAAAAGTTCAAAATGAATTGACTTATGTGTAATATGTTGTAGCCGAATTGAAGACTTGCCAAGTAGTAATATGATAAATACAGAATTATTTTTAAGTTAACATGATGGCTGATAAACATCAGGAGAACTTAAATTTGACCCCCTTTGAATGGAGTTTGGTCTCCTTTCGAAATCGCCAGCTGCCGATTAGCTAACTGACGGACGACAGCAAGTTGTGCAACTATTTGGCAACAGAAGACAAACTAAGGAATAAATTGATGAAGGAAACACTTACTGAGGACGACCGGGGGTTTGGGGGATTGACGAGGCTTTTCGTCGAGACATTTCCCCGCCGGTTTCTCGGAGCTGGGTGCCGACAACAGCATTAATAAAAGCCCGACACAGAAGGCAGTTACCCGGTGCCAACCCGCCATGACTCCTGATATCTCATAGCCTGAAGAGCATAGTACCTCCGCGGTGTGTGGAGCCGGCTGCGGTTTGCTGTTAAAGCCCACAGCTGCGGGTAAACTACCTCTGTGGACGATCACTCAACGATCACGAGTTCCGGATTTTAAGAGCACACGGTGTCCTGCGAAAAACAGTTACGCCTTTAAGAAAGTGCCCCTCCTGCCATCCTCAGGAGGGGTAGGAGGAGTCACCTCTTTCAAAGTAAAAGCTTCCACTGTTCTGCAAGCTTCTTATTTCTGATAGGCCTACAAGTAGAGGAAATAATAATATTAATATCAATATATTAATTGTACCGTTTGGATGATTATTTACCTTAAACTATACACTACCAAAAAGTGTCCCCTCTTTCTATCCATATAACCCATATAATCCATCCTCTCTTTTCTACCATAATGTGTTTTATTTAGCAAATACGTTAAAAAAAAAACTTACTCATGAAAATAAAGATCTTTCTCCTTAACAAGTCAGTCCAACTCCAACCTCTTAGATCGCGTGGTTGTACCTGTCAGTTATTCAAATTAGCTGAGGTTTTGAAAGCCTATGTTTTATGCCACAATAAGTGGCGCTGTTGTTCTGTTTCTCTCGTCTTCCAGGTGTAGAGCTTCCAACTATTGGCCCATTCAAATTTAATTGGCATACATCTATTAGCTGATCTGGGCACAGTAAGCCAATCCCTGGCGAGTAAGCCAACTCGCCAGGGATCATTACAAAAGGGCAGCTCCCTGGCCAGCTGAGGCTGCTTCTGACTCTCTGTGACTTAGTAGATTTTGTGTGTGAATAGAATGTTTGTATTAGGAGGTTGGACAGTTAAGTTTGGGGGTACCCTGTAGATATGTAACAGAGCAACAGTTATTAGAAACATTAGGTTGTGCAGTTGATACCTCTCTTGTATGGTTTTGACTGACCCCTTGTGTAGATGGGCCTTTTTGTTTGAGCATTGGTTGACTTGACCTTTAGAGAAGCTGTAGGCACTATTAATTTCTTTGATTTGGCTCAACCACCTGGTCCTCCTCCCCCACATTTTTCTTTTGTTAACTCTATTATTTTTAACACATAATAAATGGCAAATAAACACTGCATTATTTTTACACCTGCCCATATGTCAAGCTGGAGTTTGTGACACAAACATCCCACACAAGTGGAGTCTTTGTCACAAGTGTCCTCGCCCTGATACATTCTACTTTTAATTACTGTAGGAACCACAGGTAAAGTAAACCAGCAGTCTGAGAGTAAACTACTCTGTTGAAGTGATATGATAATGTGGGGTCTTGAGTAAAGTAATAAGTGCAGTATACAGTATAAACTAGATTTTTTTTAAAAACAAAAAAACAAAAAAAAA